GGGCCTGACCGCCCTCCCCAGCCTGGCCGGATGCTCCAGCCGCAGCAGCATCAGGTCGTTGTCGTGGGTCCGGGCGTTGTACTGGGGATGGGGCACCTGGCGGGCCACGCGCAGCACCTGCTGGGTGGCCTCCCGCTTCTTCAGGTTGTGCTTGCCCAGAGCGACCCGCAGGATCCTGGCCCAGGACCCGCGAGAGGAGCGCTGCTCACGATCTGACCCGGAGACCCCTCCCCACTCCCTCTACCTGGGGGCTGGGCATTTGCTGGGTATTCTTTCTCCGCCCAGGCCCGTCCGCCCCCTCCTCTTGTGAGCTGTGCTCTGGCTTCTGGCTGGGGGAGGTAAGGCGATGGGTGGGAGTTCTTGGCCGGGCCGGGTTCTCTGCTCTGTTTTCTACGCCAGACTCCGGGCTACGGCTCCAGGCTCTAAATCAGAATCGATGTTCTGGCCTAGGCTCCAGGGAGCCTCCGTCCCCGTTCTCGTCTGGCCTCTGGGTTCCCGACCTTTGGAATTTTGGAATCTAAGCTGGGACTGGGGTTCTAGATGGAGTGTGGGTTGTGGCACCCTTTCTAGATACTGGTCGGGCAGGCTGAGGGGTCTGTTTTGAGCTCTGCACGATGGCTTGAATCTGGGTTCTAGAGGTTGATTTGAGCTTTCAGTTTTGGGGTAGGGAGAGGATGCTGTACGGACTGATAGATTAAGACCCGAGCTGTGGCCCTGGCTGGTTTGGCTCAGTGGATAGAGCATCTGAAGGGCCCTGGGTTCAATTCCAGTCAAGGTCACATGCCTGGGTTGTGGGCTCGATCCCCAGTAGGGGGACATGCAGGAAGCAGCCGATCAATGATTCTCTCTCATCATTGATGTGTCTATCTCTCTCTCCTTCTCCCTTCCTCTCTGAAATCAATTAAAAAAAATACCCAAGCTGTGGATTTTGGACGTTGATATGAGCTCTAGTTTCTAGGTTGAGTTTTAGATTCTTGCTTCAGCTCTGGCTTTGGACAGTGGTTGGAGCTCTGTGCTGCAGTTGGGCTTAGGGTCCTAAACATCGGTCCGAGGTCTTGATTCTGGGCTGGGCTGTTCACATCGAATCATTGGTTTGTCCGGGCTCTTCTAGACTGTGGCCTCAGCCCTTGGCCTCCGGTTGGGCTCTGGGTTCTAGAATGAGCTCCCGGACCCACGTGTCTAGACGCTGCTTGGCACTCTGGGCTTCGCATCCTAGACTCTGGGCTGAGTTCTGCCCTCTAGGTTCTAAAGCAGTGGTTCTCAACCTTCCTAATGCCGCGACCCTTTAATCCAGTTCCTCATGTTGTGGTGACCCCCAATTTCATTGTTACAAATTGAACATAATTAAAGCCTAGTGATTCATCACAAAAACAATATGTAATTATATATGTGTTTTCCGATGGTCTTAGGCGACCCCTGTGAAAGGGTCGTTCGACCCCCAAAGGGGTCGCGACCCACAGGTTGAGAACCGCTGCTCTAAAGGGAACTTTCATTTATGGCATTGGACCTGGTTCGTAGGCAGTTGGACGGAGAGCTCTCATTGGAGGCCTGGGTTTCTAGGTTTAGGCGCAGAAGCTTAGAGGGGTGATGAGTTCTGCGTGGAGCTTGGGGTTACGGTCTGAATTCTGGGATCTAGACACTGGGTTGGGGTCTGGGTTCTAGGCTGCTCAACGAGGAGCTGTAGACTCTGGACTAAACATTGGATCTAGAATGGGCGCCCGGTCCTGCTTCCACCCTACTCTCTGAGCTGTATGTCCCAGCTCTAAGTGGGGTTCCGAACTTATGGCTGGATTGTAGGTCCTGAACCAGACTCTGGGTTCTATCTAGGCAGTGTTCTGTCTGAGAGGGGGCCCTGAGTTTCTAAAGGTAGATTGTGCCCCAAATTCAACCACCCATGTAGAATGGGCTCCTAATCTTGGTCTCTATGTGGGCCCGGGCCTCCGTAGGGATCTTGAGGTTACGCAGTCGGTTCTAGGTTCTGTGGGGGGCCTCCAAGCTGGTGTATGGGGGGTTCTAAACTCTCCATCTGCTCTCAGAATCTAAACCGAGTTCAAGAGGCGTGGCTGGATTCCATACGCGGAGCTGTGTCTGTGGTTCTAGGCTCTTCTCTAGACCCCAAACCTGGACCCAGCTACTCCGTTGGGCTCTGCACAGGGGTCCAGGGTTCTCGGCTGAGCTCTGGGCCTCCAAACTGGAGGTCACTTGGCATAAGCGTAGGGGAGGGTGCCACTCACGGGCGGGAGCAGTGGGCGGCGGTGATGGCCCAGTGTTCTGACAGCAGGGCCCCTCCGCAATGCAAGCGGCGGGCGGGGCCGGCCAGCAGGGCTGCCTGCCATGGCTGGGAGTGCTGGATGCAGGAGTAGCCACCAATTATTTTGTTCTCATCCTCTTGGCTCTGGACCCCGGCTAGGAACAGGCAGGGGTGGGGTGGGAAGAGCAGGTGAGCAAATGCCCTCCAGCGCCCAGCCATCGAGGATCTCCAGGACCCAACCTCCCCACTTTCTTTGCTTAACCCTTGACCCACCGCCTCGGTCAGCCCCACCCACAGGGCCTCCATTTCTGCTCCAATGCAATAGGGAGCTTACTGACCCCCCTCCCCATGATCTCACCCAGGGCTTTGCTATGTCTCCTGCCCTCAACGGCATTCTCCCACAGACACTTTCTATCTCAATACGCCCCTCAGTCCTCCCCTAAAACATTCAATGAGCTCCCTGTCCCATCCCCAAACTCCCCACTCCATGTGGCCCCCGGGTCCCACCATCTCTCCCCACACCCACTCCATACTCCACACCACATCCCTGCCACCCCATCGTCACCCCCACCAGCATTAGGGAGCACCCTACTCCCTCCTTTCTTTGATGACCCCTGAAACCTTGTGCTATCACCACAAGCCAGCACTCAGGCCCTGCTCCAGCCCATCCCTCAGCCCTGATTTCCAAACTACAGCCCCCCTCTCCTCCTCACCAGGTCACCCACAAGCATCCTGGCCCCCAGGGCCCTTTGCCCCTCCTTTCTCAGCGTCTCCGGGGCACCTCCTACCCCGGACCCCACTGCTTATCTTACCTAGAGCCCAGATCTGAAGTGCGGTCAGCAAGAGGAGCATTCTGGGGACCCGGGCTTTGGGTTCTGGCAAAAAAATACACAGAAAGAAAGTGAGAGAGAAGGAGGCTGGGTCAGGCCCAGAGGCCGAGGGCCAGAGGCAGCGAGAGCCTCTCACACGGAGACCGAGACCCTTAGAGACATGGATCCCGGGTCCTTGGCGACTTGGAGGGAGGATGCTGACCCAGGAGCACGTCGGGCCTTGATGTCTTCCTGGGAGGAGGAAGTGGGGATGGTGTCTCACCTCCCAGTCACGCTGTAGATCCCTTTTATCCCTGGTCTGGGCAGTTGGCCCTGCCCACCCCCCCCCCCCCCCCCCCCCCCCCCCCCCCTTTTTCTTTTTTTTTCTCTCCTTCCCCCA